CACCCAAACAACTGATGTCAAGACCTCAACTTAAAGCGCTTGGATCCTTTAAATGGTCCGGTTAAAGCAGGAAAGCACCTTCACCCTTGCATCATCAAATGCATAGCCAAGTTTATTTGCCTGAGAAAGTTAAAAATGACTCAAAACTAACGCACGGTCCGATCCAAAAGCACCTACACCTACGGAGCTGAACAGGACCAAATTAATGCAATTATGCCCTCACAGTTCCTTTTCTCCATACAATGCTCCACAGTAGTAAACACATTAGTCATGGCAACTAGTTTTTATGCATTTTACAATCGTAATGGTTTGAAAATGATCTTAATGACTGTAATTATTGTGATAGCATTGCACTTCACAGCGATTAGACTGCGCCTTCCACACCAGTTTGGCATGTGATCACCGCATAAAACCCTCATAGAAATGCTACTTAATTTTATGCATTCCTATGAATGGCATTAACTACACTTTCTAGGATGGGAAGTAGTGGTTAGCTCTAGTGGCTTTAAAAAAGTTTTCGCTATGAGTTAAAACAAATGGGCTTTATCAAAAATGAAGAAAGTGAGGAAAGTTATGGACAATTTAGTACCCCTAGTTATGAACTTATTAAATGGCAAAATTGATGACTCACTTGTCGGTGGTGAAACAGATTTTTTGAGAATTTGTGTGAAGGCTTCATTGGACGCATTATGATCCAGCGATTGCTACCAATAGCTTATCCGGACCAAATTGAAGTGCCTTCGAGAGTCGGTGTCAAGTCTCCATCCGCCCTCTGTGTAACTATAAAATTAAGGAGCAAGCTGGCAGTAACAGCTTACAGACCACTTACCAGTGAGAGTCAAGATGAAGGAAGGGCACTCGCCTTTGAACGACGCTGTAAAATTCGTATTCATTAGAGAAGGCTCCAAAGCAGACTTTTCAAATCGCCCTATTGTAAGAGGCTATAGTAAGCTAACGACGTTAGAAGACGCTTAAAGGCAAAATTGAGAAAGGCATTACAGTGTAAAGGAATGCAGTGTATGGCCGAAATAATGAAACCATGCCAGGAAGTATGGATTCCGAATCAGCACTCTCTAGAGTCGTCGTCAACTTCCATATTGTGTTAAGGCAACTAAAACTCCCAAAATAAGTTGTCACAACCGATGCTGCTCAGAAATATGTGGAATTTCGGTTGATGAGGTAGTAAAAGTTGATCATTTTATTTGTAAGATGAGCATTTTAGATTTGCCTTACCAACATACCCTGCACTGCACTCCGTATTTTTCAGAATTAACGCATTTACATCATCGGCGATGGCAACAATGACATAGTTAAAGAAAAATCATTTACAAATTGTGTCAACCATCATAATATTAGTTGACCGTACAAGGTCAATCAATTGATACCGCTTTGATGCAGTTATGGCGATGAGCAAAAACAATCACTCACAACCAAATCAACTTTCGCTTCCCCTTAAGTCGTCTAATTACACTTCCATAACTCAAATAAGTTGATATCACTTGAGAAGTCCTTGACTGTTGTCATCGATAAACCGGGTCAAAGGGAACACATCAGTCCAATGTCATTGCATTATGTTAATGAAACGCTGACTACATGCTTTTACGCATTATTCAGTCTTGTTGGAAGTCCAAAAGCCGCGACACTGGCGTGAAGAGTGTAACGTTGCCGCATAGGAGGGCCTGGAGGCAGGTGGCGCAGCCTAGAGGTCAGGTCGTCCGGAGGAAGTTAGATTTCATGACTCATGCAGCAGCAATTTTATATGACCTGTCTCTCCTTTTATGCAGTACCCATACACTCCTCTTGATCAATCCCAAGCCTTAACAGCCGTAGTTTAATCAGTGTTACAAGAAAAACTTACAAATTGCGCGACTTAAAAGAAATAGGACTCCAGGAATGCAAATCTACCCTAGTAATTCCTCTGCACCTAAAGACCCTTTCTAGGTGAAAAATGGTGTGGGAAAAGGCGGCTGTGAAGACCAAATGATATACGTTTTACCGGCAGTAAGATCGTGGCTAAAAATTGCAGAACCACATAATAGTGGATCAGCTTGACAATGGATTTCTGGCCGTAAGATTTCCTATTTCGTCCTCCTTACAGTTTATAGGCTATACTTAGCCTTTTTGAAGTGGACACTTCAGTTGCTAGCCACAGCTCGTCAACAGATTTATTTCATTACAAATCAAGTTCAAAGTATGAATTCTTGTTCTTCTTTCCCTTCAAAAGTGAAATGAGTGAAGTTCATTCCGGCTCCGAACCAGATTGTATGATGTGGTGACATGGAGGACGCATTATTCTCAAAGCCAAAGCGGTCAGTTGTTTGCCTTTTCACACCTGCAGAGGCGATCTTCAACCAAATCGCCACAGAGATTGCTGGCTCAACATCATGAATGCATAGTTTGAAATTTGCCTTCACTCAGTGGTAGCAGTTGAATTCGTCCATTCGGGAAAGTTGATGCCATGCTGATCATAGATTGACTAACAGGCAGCCAGGCCCATAGACTGACAATGTTTCCGTCCACTCTGTTGGTCACAAAATGAAGCCGATTGGTTTTGGTCAACTTGGTGGGTACACGTGAATATGGAGAACGTTCAAGAGCATGCCGCTCCTCAAATCGCCTGGAACAATGCCCAATGAGTTTGTTTCCTTCGTCACCCATTTTACTGCCTTTAATTGGGAGACTTTTTTGGGCTCGGACATTGCTCTCCGTACGAGTTTATGTGTTGCGCTTGGCGGCTGTCACTTAGCTTGAATCATATTCGTGCTCTTTACCAGCCAAGGACAACGCTCCGTCATGGGTAACTTTGAGGTGCTTTCAATTACTCGATTCAAGCACTTTTGAATGACGCCATCAGCCTAACAAGTGACCATTTAGCAAATGACCTCTCTCCATGTCATTACCCTATTTCGACAAGAAGTATTTTAAAACACTTTTACCGTATAGTTGGTGCTGGGATGTGAAAGATTGACTGCAGCAGAGGAAATGAAATGAATAAAATTGTTGCAGCTTTAGTAGATGCAGGGAAATAGAGTTTATCATTTGACAGTAAAGTCAAGTCGGGACAAAATTAAGAATAGCGATTGTAGTACATATGAGTTGCCTAATCACGCCTTTATAGGTCGACGACAGGACTTCAGTTTAAACTCTCAAGCCTGGACAAGAATCAAACTCTTTTCCTGCATTTCTTCCTTATTTCACAAACACAAAATGCACGTTTGAAGGCAATCAAGGGAGATGAAATTGAATGAGGAGGAGATACAGTGATCGACGTTGAACACAAAAATGAAGACTGTCCCAACTTTTTAATGTCCTATCAAAAACTTAATTTACTGAACGCTTGATCTTGACCAATCAGAGAAGCACAAACAAGAACGCTACGAATGAAGCATCCTGCAACATTTTAGAAGAGACACGCAGTACACGACTGCACATTGGAAGCACTTAAGTGTTTCAGCTTTTGGATTGCAAAAATTCTTGGGTTGTCTCCAAAGTAACGGTTGCTGTGGTCACTGTTCAAATCTCCAGGCTTGACTACTCTTGAGGAGGGTACTTTTGGTGAAAGCTTGAAGGCAAAAGTCCAATTTTAAATTGTGATGGCAACACATAAAAAGTGGTCGCATCTGGGCACTTTGTACTTTGTAACTTTGTTGATACCTCATCATTATATACACATATTTTTAGTAATTATCTGGGATTCTTGAAGACTACTGCTTCCTTTTTTATTACCAACTTGGGGCTGCTGAGCTCCACTGGGGAAATAGCAGCGACAGTCGAACGTATATTCCACAACTTGAGGTTAGCCGAACCAAAATGCGCATTTGAGTTGCAGTAAATTTTCAAATCAACATTAGGCAACTTTCACAAACTCATCATGCAATTATTTGCAATTTTTGCTAACCATCAATTACTACAAAACGTATTGCTTTGACTTTTGAATAGCTTTTTGGTTCTTCATTTAAATTCACTTAAATCTTTGGTCTGACTGTTTGCGAGAACTTTTGGTGAGGCACAAACAGCAAGGATGACTCCGCCGAAGAAGTGAGATAAGTTTCGCCATTCTCTCCGAGGCCTCATTGGAAGGTACCTTAAGTTCTCTAACAACGGCAGCAATTGAGTGGTAAAACACTGTGCAAATGTGTTGACTCCACCCTGAATTGGTTCTTTGTTCTTTTGAAAATGCTTTGACGAAGGCAAGATTATATGCTAATGTGATACGCAACAGGAGTGACAAATGGTTGCCTATTGCTCACACCCTCAAAAAAGACGGTAAAGTAAATTAAAAACAAAGGCATAATCGAATTTGGCAACATTCGTTGATAGAAGATGTTTACTTCCTTGAGGTGCGATGGTGAGGTGTTCGACACTCGTCCCATCAGGATCATGAAGTTGGAAAAATTGTTCATGCTGTTGCCAGTGCAATGAATGGTTTTTTTGTCCACATTACCTTACATGTTTTGACTCTGTTGAAAATAGTACCGTTGGGAAGGGCCCTACAGTAACGACGATTCGAAGACCTCCACAATGTACTTCCTGTGAGCTTATAAAACATCAGTGTTGTGTGTGGGTGAAGTTAATCCACTTAAGGTGCAAAAGTTGAGCAAATGCTTTCAAAAGCATTTTTTTAAGCTGGAATTTGTGTATCACCATTTGAGTAATTGGGTGGGCGGAGGAGGGAGAATGAGAGGCTCTAAGTGAAGCCATGGCATACGGTGAGAAAGCGCCAGTGGTTACCATAATGCCAATGTTCCCCAACCTTAAAAAGATGTTATTGGTAAACTGTTCAAATTTATCCAATTCCCTCACCACCTAGTCGAAAGTGAGTGCTTATTTCAGTCGCTTCAGCGCGGACTCTTATCTGTTGCATCCGAATTCGCCTGCGTCATCCATCCCCGCATTCGAGTGGAGTGTGTGAGTGCGTGAAAATTCCAACCAAATGCAATTCATCATGTCGTATTAAACAAGGTGGTTTTTTCAAATGATGGTGAACCTAAAAGCCTCTCTCACACGAATGGCAACAGGTCCCGATAAAAGCACAGACTCCAACGATCCATGAAGCGTTGCGGTGCGTAATTGCCCAACTTGACTAGACCTGCGTTAAGTTGATGCATAAAACCACACAGCCGACAGTCCAGCCTCTTGTCAACCTGTGGAGAAAAGTTATGGAACAAATTAGCATTTTTAAACAGAAAGGTCTCTTGAGATTAAAACCTTTGTTAAGGGTCTTGGTGATTCCTTCCAGAGGGCAAAAGCACGCTTACTTTTTTATAACCTACGACTACGCTATCTCGAATACTCCTATAAATTTCGCGAAACACTAAAAATGTTTCAATTCGTAGTTTGAAAGGGAGACGGTTGACCTACTATGAGGCAATCCTTCTGCCTTGTTAAAACCAATCTGCAGGTCATGCGGTTAGTCGCTTTTTGATTTCAAGCTTTCACCTTCTTAGTTGCCTTTAATTCAGTACATTGAAATGGAAAATTGTCCAGATAAGCAAGTTCTTTTACCATCTTGCACATTTCCATGACTCTTATGAGCCACATGTACCGCTCGACTTGTGCACTGCCTCACTCCGAGTATTTGTGAGCGAAAAGGCGCTTCTTTTTTCACATCAAAGTTAGTAAACATTTAGTCATGCTTCAAAGGTTTATGTAAACAGTCGAAAACTTAAGTGCCCGCTTTGGGGCTTATTTAAATTAGCTGTTGTTGCCTCTTTTTGTCGTCCATCTAACTTCATCATGACGTTTTTTTTGCTGTTTGTCACCATTCTTGGCACCAAAAGGTAGAATGTTGGGAAAAAAAATGCTGTAGCCGAGGTTCACAAACTCACATAAATGTCACCATGTTCCTTCCAAGCGAAATATTCGGCATAAGCAGTATCATTTTTATCCAAGTAGTGTAGGTATTCGGCTAGTTCGCTGGCGGACTTAAAGTCGTCCACGTTGATGTAGGAGTGAGGTGGAAGGATGCTCTCATAATCCTCCTTGTATGCACCCAAAACGATTGGAACCATGCCGTATCTGCAAGGTAAAGAGGAGGCTGCAACACCAACTTCAGATGTACAATTGGTCCTACACGATTTCATTCCTTAAGCAGATCTTAATACCTCAGAGCGTTGAAAGTCACCTTCTCTGTTATGTAATATCTGCAGTTTGAATTCTCAAATGCCAGGTAGAACTTGTAATGCTCTGCGATCCATTGAAGAGGATCTCGTCCTGGTGGTGTCTCCTTGCCCATTCCACCGTAAATATCAACCTACAACAGTAAGTGGATTAACCATTGGTGGCCGGTTCTCGCCTTGATCACAATCAGAACGAATTAGGACTTATTTGAAAAGAGACCAAAGAGTTCCGCAATTCTTTACTACGGATAATCTTTGGCTTCTTACCGGTATAATTGCAGAAATTGTATAAGCAACCAGATCTCTGTTATTTTTTGGTGAACTGTTGGAAACCAACCAAGCGATTAACCTCCTCCTCTTCCTATGACTGCTTGGCAGTAGGTAAGTGTTGTTTTTTGCAAGCATTGCGGCTATTTCGCTGATGGTAAATCTCTTTCCACGATTCGTCTTGCGCAAGAACATTGGATACATGTAAGGCACTTGAGACCACGGCATGTAGGTGATAAACATATCCACCTACATTAATAAAATACAACTTATCAATTATCAATTCCCCAATCAAACACAAGGGTAATAGCTTAGGATTCGAGAAGAAATGAGAGTAGATTATTTCAAACCTAGTCAGTCTCTCCAACCTTTGCGTTTCCAGTTTTCCTCAAATGAGAGCACTTAGAAAGGACTTTTTTGTGCTGATGCGCAACATGCATACATGGCAGGTTTGCGTTAGGAGACAATTACGGTTAGTCGCCGGCAAAAGGCTCAGGTTGGATTAGCGTGCACAAACCTACCTGCTCCATTTGGGTTTGAGTCAATGTTCGCATATGCACAGGACTCTCAACTGACTCGAAGGCAATGAGAACACCTCGCCGTTTTAGATATTCTGCCTCTACTGTGTAGAATGCCTCTGAAAAGACAGCTATGTCACCTGCGCCTAAACCTTGAAGGTAATCAGTGTAGTTACACTTGTAACGACATCCTTCGGATTCAGTGAGATGATACAATAGGCGTCTGTCATAGAAAATCTTTGGCGGTTTGACAAGAGATAAATCACTCTAAAGGGGAACAAATTTGTCAAGGCATGCTACTCAGTATACAACTTAAATACTAAGCAAATGGTTTGGTGCTTTACCTTATCGTGAGAAAAGGCTGATATCCACTCAAGCTGTTCTATAGCATGGTAGTAGGGATGTGGTTGTGCTTGAAAGACGTTGAAAAAATTCCTCGTCCTAAGAAAGAGATTCTCAGAGCCGAATGACTCGTTTGGTTGCCAGCTCCATATTGCAGCTAAAATGATGAGGTTAAAAATTAACCATCCAGTGATAAAGAAGGAGAACGCAGACTCATTCATCAGCCTGCTTCCGCATATCTGTGAAGTTGATGCCAATCACCGTGACGAACATAGCCAATCGTGAGTAAAGGAATTCGATTGGCTGCTAGGACGTGTCATTCGGTTGAAGCCTTGCAAATTACACTACAACTCTATTCAAAGTGCTTGATTTAGTAGACGGATGTGAGGTTGAAAATATGCATTGCTCAACATCACTTAAATTAAATAGATTCGAAAATCTTGTCAAGAAGCGACACCCGACGCCTTACTTTGCCTAAATGCTGTATTTGTCAATGCTGCACTACTAAAATGGGAGCCAGCCCGTCAAGTTGTTAATCAACAGTGCTGATTTAGCCCTCGAAGGCATTAAGAATCAAAGTACAACGACATTTATTGTAAAAGTTGCGGTAAATATTAACATCTTGTCTAATTATCCAGTCTTTACTTTGGAGATTTTTTATGTAGCCGCGCTGTTAGACGATAAAACTGTGAGGCCGAAATGCACAACAGGTTCATTCTCGCTTGGTTTATTGATAAGGTCATGGATGTATTAGCATTGAGGTGGATATCTAGTACCTTCAACATGAAAACATGCATGAGTTTTTGAATGTGAACCGGTGAATGCACCGGAGCTTGTATTCATGCGACTGAATCCTGTGCAGCTGCTGATCTTGGTGATTAAAAGTAAAGGCAAAGGGGATGAAACTAGGAGTGTTCTGCATTGTATGCGACCTCAGTAAAATTCCCAATTCGAAAGTCGTGGAGGACTTCCCACAGCATCGACATTCGAGCACTTCTGTTTGCTATGTCACTACACCTCCTCACAATTTTCCCAATCCACCAGTAACCTTATTTCCGGCCAACAATCACAAGTATGGACCATTGCCTACTTCGTTCTCTGTCAAGGCTTTCAGTAAACGTGGCTCGAGGTATTCTGGTGGAATTGGGACCAAATATAGGTTCTCCAGCTGACGTTTGCTCCCCATTGTCCCTTTTGCTGATGACTAGTGGCTTTGGACGACATTGTCAAAAGTAGTCTGCTACTACTTTGAGGCTGTCGATCATGTCCAGTGAGGATCCCACAGAGTGGAACGAATACGTGTTGTACCAAAAGTCTTATGCCCTCAAGATGGACGAACTTTGTTTTACTTAAAAAGAGTCAGAATCCAGTTTATTAGTAAAGAGGTAAAATAATACTTCTTGCCCTTTGCGTCAATGTCGACTGGTAAGGTGTCGGCTAAAGTTGGGCAAATTGGTTTACTTCAGACCACATCATTCGACTCTCCTCAAACCTGAGTTAGGAAAGAAGACGTTAGTTGACATAGCGTTCCGGTTTACTTCGTGATACTGAAGGCTTGAACCGAATAACACTTGTCTTACCTCAACCATGAGAAACCGGCCATCTGTAATTGAAAACTCCATCTGGCGTTCACACTGTGAACCACTCGTTGTTTGGATGCTAAACCCATACTGTGAGGACCTAAGAGGTTTCCGGCTAGGAAGAAAGCATTATTTGGGGCTGAATGCATGCATTCGAAGGGGAATACGAAGGAATTGCGCCTTGGCTTGGTCTGAAGGCAACCTAACACGTATAAAAGGGACAAATACCAAAGCAACGGCCAGACACAGAGGTTGTCACACAAATAAAGGATTACACTGCCCTTTGCTTCTTTTGAGCGAAGCTACCCTCCGTGGCGCTGAAAGAAAACGCCAGGAACCAGCCGCCCCAATCATTAGCATTCAAGAGACCGATAGTCTGTACTTTACCTTCTTAACAGCTCAAACTAGATCTGAGGTTAGGTTCAGTATGAGAGCAGGAATCATAGGGAAAGCTCTGCCGATCAATAATAGTGTTGAGGACCACCTGTTAAAATACTGATCTAAAACAGATATTTGACATAGGAAGACGGAATCAAACACGTTCCCGTGCATAGTAGGACAGATGATAGCGTCGAGCTTAACATTCACATGAGGAAGTGGCAGGGAGGAACTTTGATAAGAAGTTCATCCGAATGATTTACGGCGGTGCTGCTCAAGTTTTAATATTTTGCCCGTGCAATACAGTAATGGGTTAGACCCAAAAAATTTTCCCCTCCAAGTGTTATAGCTTCCTTTGCACTGCAGAAGCATGTCATAATCAGTGGACAGAATGGAAGTCATGAAAAAGTCGGTTTCGCTTCCCGCAGCCACCATTGTAGCGCTTAAGAGACTTCCCATTAGGTTTGAGAGGACACTAAGTTAAAACCGACTGCAATGCTTGCGTGGTCGTAGCCACTGCATGATAATTTGAAATCATCGAAGATTGATATACTGATTGGTAAAATTTTGTAAATTGGTAAAAATATTCTATTCCTTAACCGAAAAAGTCGAAATACCATGGCTTTTTTGAACGCCCTGTGCTGCAATAAGGCACTTAAAAACTATGACTTAATTTTATTGAGGACCTTCTGATAACAATCCTTAACTTCATATGTACCAAATTAGTTTAATTACTTACTAAATTGAGTTGTGGAGCGCACTTTTGAAAAATCTCACGCTTCTGAGTGGTCTTCCTGGTTCGTGTTTGCGCACAGGTATTATTGATTCAGTTTACTTGTATCTGTATTTTCTTACTTCTTTACGCCACTGAATCTCTTTTTTTAAGAATGGGCTTTGATTCAATCCACTACTCGCACCCTAGAACGTGTGGACAGGGAAGTCGTTGCTGTCGTGTTTGTTCCAATAGGCATGGTCTCATCCGCAAATACGGTCTGAACATGTGCCGTCAATGCTTCAGGCAATATTGTGCGCTTATTGGCTTCAAAAAGCTTGATTAAATGGTTATTCTACTTGGTGGTTATGTCTGTAATTTTGTGTTCAGTTGGTATAACTCGCAACGTTCTTGGATAATTAAAGCATAATTTAACGGTTGCGTAATGTAAACCAGTTAATACTGTTTCTTTCTTGAATGCTTCAGTTGGGATTTCGCATTTGTGACTAGCTGGGAGCCACGTCTCAACTTTTATTCATTGCCTGATTTTTGGGATTTATTTATTTCTTTCCTGCGAGTATCAATATTCATTAACTTTCAAAAGCTACCTCTTTGTGTATTTCGTTCTGAATGTGTTTGTCCCAACAAGCCTTTTACTGTTCACCCACTCAATGACAAAGACGTTCTAGCAAGTGAATCTGGGTTTCGAAGCGGTCCTGTTTTGTACATTCAAGCTGGACAGGTACAGCTACTGCTCCTACTGTTTTATCCACTCTCTGCAGCGTTGTTCCTTTGCTCGTGTTGTCTCGGATTCCTGAAACGACGAAGTTACCATTACATGCAAATCAGATTTTTAGTTAAATTGCTATTTCAGATAAGTTGTCACTTATTCTGCTCTTGTGGTTCATGGAATGGCGTACCCGGACTGTTGGCTGAGGTAGAGCAATGGTGCCTCGTATTTGTTGTTAATTTGCTGAATCGGGTGGATTAGGTTGGCTTCTGCTAGAGTATGCTGCCTTAAGTGCAAACTCCGTGTCTGATGTTCAAATGTTAGCAGCAGTGAAAACTTACTCCAAAAGCTAGCAAACTAGTCCGAGTTCAAGTCGATCATTATGTTGTCATGGGTTATTATTCGTGTGTCGTCTGTATGGGTTGCACTGTCACAAACTGTTTGGTTTCACTACCGCTAAACCTAGAAGGTTGGTTAGAAGCTGAGCTGCCTAATTGTATGATCAAAAGGTGCTTATCTGCTTCTAACCTTTGGTTCTGGGCGATTTATGATTGGGAGTTCATTTTACCTCTTAGTGTTGTCTATCACAGCACATCCACCACCTTGCTTTTAAAGGAGGGTTTTGCGATACGTAAATTTGTCTGTAGTGTCTACCGCCTTACGTGTTTCATTCGTACAACATAGGCTGTTTAGCACATTAAGACCGATGCGGAGAGCCCTGATTGCCCTTTGCGTAAACAGAGGTATGGTAGGAGCTTTGCACCCTCGCACCTGTGCGTGGCAAGTGCAAGATGCGTTGTTACAGGGTTCTGACTGTTATTCGTGTATATAAAACAATTGGTACTACCTTTCCATGAGAAAGTAGCTGGGTGGATCATCTAATGCTTTTATGGGAGGTGAAATTCACTAGTGCGTGTACGTTGTTAAAGCCCGTCCAGTCTGTTATTGGTGTTCTCAAATCCGCTCCCCAATGGCACCTCTTCGTAGATCGATTCCCCTTCCTATTTTTAAGACACTTCGATGACACGCATTTGGGGAGCTGAGTTAACCTTTGATTCACTTTCTTCTAACTGTTGATCTGGGATCTATTGACCTTGTGCATACACTCCTGCAAACACCTATGGCAGGTAGCCATGTTTTCATCTAATCGACGCTGACCAGTTTGGTAGCTACTAATTTCATCCCGAATTCATCCGTCAGTAGTGGTAACAGCAGTAGGAAATGAAGCGACGTCAGTGGGCCTACTTAGTGCTAGGTTAGCCACTTTTATGATGCATTCAAAATCTCATTAAGGGTCACCATTGGAGAAAGGGGGATGCTTTAGTTAGTTTGCATCGCCTGACAGGTTTGACCATCAGTAGAAATCGAAATGACCTTCCTGTAAGTCTTCGGGTACCGGCATTCGTAAGATAGACCTTATTGAAATTCTTATTGCTGCTTCAAGACGCCTGGCTCACTTTCCCATACCCGGGTAATAACACTGCTAAATGCCTAAATTGTTTGCATGCGAGCTATTCGAGGTAGAGAGCCCGAGGTTGAGCTAGAGCTGTAGCAGAGATCGTTACTAGTCATGTTAGAGGAGAAAGGTTAGCTTCATGGAAGTCTGTGTGGTTACGTATTCTCATGTCCATTGGAAGAGTGAGGCCGTTATGGGAGTAGACAATCAGAGTACTATATGCCTTTTCTTACCGCATTCTGGTGAAGTTTTATGCGTTCTGAAATATTACTCTGGACCTACAAGCCTAAGAGTGATGTAGAGTGTTATCTTCGCACACTAAATTAAATCAAACAAAGCGATACCCAGAGCACTAAAGAGTCGATTAATGTGGCGTCCCAAGGCTTCTTCATAGACGAGAGGAGGTACGATACTTGAGCCGAATACATACGTTCAGCAAAGTGGGAGAGGATGAGGGCGTCCCGCATGGCCACGAGGCAGGCCTACCTGGGTATGGCAATATGGCCACATAAACGACCTGTGCCGCATCCGGGACTCAGATAAAAAGTACTACGATCAGAGAGCAGCATCTTAGGTAAATCAATTCTGCACCGTTGTTTCGTATTTCTTGACAGCTTCCCGATAGGGTACAGAGAAAATGGTGGACAGAGAGCTATGCAATACATACTGGCCATTTAAATCGCGTTTTGTAGGGGAGAATTGCATTTTAATCTGATTACCCGCATGCAAAGCTGGGAGAACATTCTCTAAACTAGTCCGAATACTATTATGGCAAGCCTTTTCCTTTTCTGCTGTAACTCTCTTGGAATGCCTGATCAGTCACCTCTGAACAATCCTCGCTTAAAGAAGGATGAGTCGAAAGATGTGGAGAACAGGGAGGAAGTTATTGCAAGCTGATATCGCATGGGGAAAGGTAGATGACAACGAGGTGGCAAAACCCTGATCATCAGTGTAGGACCCCGGGACTTCCCACTGGGTTGAGCCGAACATATGTATTTCAGGAAGTAAAGGAGGGATTAAGCCCCAACTGAACCCGATGGCCAGCCCACGGATATAAGGACAAGACGGTTGCCAAAGTTACCTCCAGGACCCAGGTTGTTAACGCAAGGTGGTTGTTGCAACTGAGACATGTGCAGCAGTTAAGGATGCTGGGATAGCAATATGATGGATGCTAAAGTTTTGCAGCTCAACAACCTAAATAATGGCAAACTTATTGCACAACATTGTTTATGTAACCACCTGATGTCTGGCGGTTACTGTAAGATTTGTCCGCTCCATGTACGCGCTGGCTGGCCTTCGGACCAAGCTCAGACCTAATCCCTTTGTTCTCCCTGGAATGCATGTATTGAGCTCCGCTTAGTGCCTTTTTTACTCGATGGGAAGCTTCAGAACGCTACACTTATTAAATTTTTTCCCCGTGTATTAACGTTTGGTCAGATATTTCTTCTCATGGAGGATTTTTTTATTAACCTTCAGACACTAATGAGCTGAAGACAAAAGTCAATTTTTCGGCATCCTAAGCAACAAATCAATAAGAATATTTAACAATACCATTCACTTCAACGTCAAGCCGCACCACTTTGTGGAATGCATGCGTTCTACACTATTTCCTGATTAAACGCGCGCCTGTTGCTACATCGCATTTCGGATTGTTGGTGGGTCAAGTGGGTGCTTCCCCCTCTCACCTGTTACATTCCCATGTTGTATAGCTCCTCAACTTTCCATTGGGTTTTTTTCAAACCCTTTGCCACGGGCGGAGTCTTATCGTATCTCCAATGGATTTTGATAGCATCAATTATTCGCATCCCAGAAGTTGTCGTTAAGGGAGTCATTGCTGTCGGGTTTGCTCTAATAGACATGGTCTCATCCTCAAATTTGCTCTGAATATGGGCTGCCAACGCTTCAGACAGTACTGTGCACCCGTTGTTTTTAAAACGCTCGACTAAGTAGATATTTTGTGCTACTAGTTTCCCTACCGATCATTTTTTTTGCAAAATTGAGCGCCTACTCATGCTCAATAGCTCCATGGCTGCGTATTGCGCCATTGAGGCCTTTGCTAGCTGTTTCTGTTACTTTGTGCCACCAGCTACAATCGTGAAATCAGGACTAAATTGGCCTCGTTTTTACTAGCTTAGCATTATAATGCATCACCCTGTTTCCGGTTGATTTTGCTCTCTCTCCGAAATGCTACCCCATATTTGCCTTTATTCTCACCTCCAATTACTACTTTACATCGTCTCTGTTGGCCACATCGCTATCATATAGCCATGCCAATGGCATTTGTCAATTTTAAAGTTGGCTATGTAACGTCCCCCGATTTCGCCTTGGCAATATAAGTATAATACTTGTATCCAGACAAAAAATATAGAAACAAGGCTGTGGTCTAGTCTGAAGGTCAGTCCTCGCGACAAAGGCAAGATGGTCGCAAATGTAATCGCTCTCCGTATAGGTAGTCAAATAAGCAGTTTTACATTGTCCACCTCGGCGCTTTCCTTGATGCACCTCCATCGCTAACTATTACAGCGTAATCAGTACTGCGTAGAAACATCCGCGATCCAGCCGCACTAGTCATCAGCTCTCACGAGATTGGGTGATGTACTTCACCCTCTCAGCAGCTTCGATTAGATCTAGAATTACCCTCAGTCTAAAAACAAGAATCATAGTCGAGCACTCCTGTTGACCGTAAATTGCGCCCTCCACTAAACGTTGGAACATTGTTCTAAGGCAAATGCGCAATAGAGGAAACGAGATTGAACGCAGCCCCTATGATCGGGGGTTTAGCATAATGCTATCGCCACTTCTGCGTGCGAATGTGCTAGAAGTCTGCTGTGGTCGCTTACTGTCGTGGCAATTGTAATACCTTGTTTATGTGACCAAATGACGTTGGGCGGTCACTTTAGGTTTTGTCTGGTCCTTGTACACATGGGCTGGCCTTCGGGCCGTGCTCAGGACCATTTGTCCTGTTGTCTTCAGAATACATGAATCCAGCCTCTAATTGATACAATTTGTGTGTTTCTTGCTCTGTTCTGTCAAGAGCTCAAAATAACAACTTGGATACCGTACTCAGATGTGAGAGGACTGCCTTCCATGCATTTTAATGGCTCCAATAATTCTACTTTATTGTTAGTCTCGAATATGGAAGAGGTGTTAGATTTAACAACTTTGATAAATGTTCATAGAAAGAGAACTTGGAGGATATCCTGCACCCTAATCTACACCGTCTCTGGATGTATGTGTTTATCCCTCGGCTCATAAAGAAATGTAGATTTGTTAGGGTACATTGTGATCGTATTTCTCAATCAGTATATGTAGAATTGCAATTCCATGTGAGGCAGCATATTTTCGGTGGCAAAATGACGGTCGTCATTGTTCATGCTTAGATGAGCTCAACCATAATAGCCTTATTGACCCAAACTACGGTCTATGTGGGTATTTAGTTGGGCCAACACTACGATTTTTGATCTGCCCTGTGCTGGGTACCACGGCAAACTAAGGATACCATCAACCTCTTTGGTGTTGGGTGTTTTACTCCAATACGTAATGAGGTGTAAATTGTACTTTGAGGGAAGGAGGTGTGAATTCAATCAGAACGCAGTGTTCGAGAGATCCGCAGAGGATAAGTCTTCTCTCACTAAGTGATACTCATCCGCGATGCACATCTTACTTGTGACAACATGACGTTTGGCGGTCACCTTAGAATTTGTCTGGTCTCTATGCACGTGGGCTGGCCTTCGGGCGACGCGCAGACCCCATTTGCTCCGTCGTCTTCGGAATACATGTATTCAACCTCACTTATGCCTAATAAATCCCCTTGTAAAAGATTCAGGGAGGAAAGGTCCAAACACACCACAAAGGGGTACATTAAGGTGGAAATGTCTGATATGCGTTGAATTGAATGAAATCCTTTGCATTGGCAACCAACGAAGAAATTCAAATGCACAAATGCGCCTTGGTTATTTGCTCAAAAATAGTAAACTGCCAAATATGAAATTTATTCACTGCACCCGTTTGTGTTTAAAAGTAAGTTCATCTTTTATTTTTTGAACCCATAAATCCGGCAAGATTACTATCAGCTATTTGTATTGGTAGTTGATTAAAGAGTAGTAAATATATTGTCTCATTGCATTGTTTGCCTCGATTCATTTGGCAAAGCTCTTGGATAAGGCGGCTGGGTTGGAGGCGTTCTGGCATCTGGTTCATTTGATTATGTATTTTGTGGTTTTCCATTAATGCATAATTATTTTTGTGTCTAGAGCTTTACAAAGCTTGCTAGTGCTTTGTGCTCTATTCGAATCTGATAGATCTTATGTGCTTTGAGCTTCAGCTTATTTCATTTCACTCTATATCCTCTCGTTACTGATCCTCACAGTTTGTATCATGTTCGTTTTTTATAAGTTTGGTTTGGATTTCAGCGAATTTTCAAATACCATTTAGAACTGAAAATGTCAAGTGCGAGCTCTCGCTCAGTTCGAAGTCGTCTTGGTGATGATGCATCACAGCAGCCACTCGTTGAACCCATGTCTACGGATCTCTTTACAAATGACACTCCCAACCTTGATGTCGAAGGTAGCGAGACTCACGGAACTGCTCCTTCTAGTTCTCAAAGGAGAAGGAGTGCACATGAACAGTCGGATACGGTGAGTTTGTGCCTATCTTTGTGCCTCATGACATTTGGGAGGTAGCCATCAGTTCTTTTCTCATATACTTTTTAAGGATGCCCGTTCCGGTCTACGAACCTCAGAAGTTGATCCCGGTAGCCCACTCTCCTACAGTGACATGTCTAGTTTTGGAAGTGGTCGCGCCGCGGATGCCTTAAGCTCATTCCGACCTGGAGTTAACGAGGGCGGTACACCGAGGTCCCACTTCGCCGCCTCTGGGCCGATAGGACCTGCTATAGATACCGAGATTGGGTCCTCTGCCGAGCTTGGCGCTCAGGCAAGTTGTTTTGCTCACTCTAGTTGGTAAGCATATGTTTTAGAAGTATTTAAAATTGCTCTTTCACCGAACAGACCGTAATCTGGGGAACCAATGTGAATATCGCAAAAGTAATGGAACAGTTTAAACGCTTCCTTCTCAATTACACCCTCCACGATCTTAATGGTCAGCCAGGTCTGACTACAGGGGTTCCGTTAGATCCTAGTAGACCCCTTTACTTACAAAGGATGGAAGACATGGCAGTGTCCGGGGCCACTACCCTCGATATTGACTGCCAACATTTGCGAGACGCAAATCCTGAGCTTTACAATCAACTGATAACTTTCCCGAAGGAGGTCATTCCTGCTTGTGACGCCTCTCTTCATACTCTCTTTCTCGACCGTTTTCGGGATGCAAGACCGGAGAGACCTTTGCAGGTAGCTGCGAAGCTGGTGTTTCTTCGAGTTTAACAGACCCAAGATGTATGGTGCTTTCTATTTTCTCACGCAGACTCGTCCATTCAACAGTGGAAAATCGCGTTCTCTTCGTGAGCTAAATCCGGAAGATTTAGATCAACTTGTATCGATCACTGGTCTCGCTATTCGCCTCTCCAATCTCATCCCCGAGATGATGCGTGCTGAATTTAAGTGTGCGGTTTGCGGCGCTTTGTCGAGCGTTGTGTGTGAGCGGGGGAGAGTAGCAGAACCCTCGGCCTGTGCTCGCTGTCATGCTCTGCACACTACCCAACTGCAGCACAACAGGTGCCTCTTTGTGGACAAGCAGCTCATCAAACTTCAGGTTAGATTTGGTAGTCTTGTTTAAGATTTTGCTATCAGTTTCCTATGAGTAGCGAGTTTGTTTCCTCGCAATTGCAGGAGGCTCCTGAAGACATGCCAGCTAGTCAGACCCCGCATACAGTTGCGTTGTATGCTCATGAGGATCTCGTGGATAAGGTGAAGCCTGGTGATCGAGTTTGTGTGACTGGAATTTATAGAGCTGTGCCTCTAAAATTGTCCAACCGTATGAGGACTCTGAAGGCTATCTACAAGACTTATATCGATGTGCTGCACTTTAAGTATGCTCCTGAGTTTTATAAAAGTTCTGAGGTGGTAGTGAAACATGCAGGATCTTTGACAATTTTTGTTTTGCTATATGACTTTATTGGAGTTGAATGTCTGAGGAAGCTTGTAACGGAGGTATAAATTTGCCTTTTCGGCAATCGAGCAGTTGTGCAAAGCCAGTCTACCAGGATGCTTCCGCATTTGGAAATTAATGTATCTATAGTTCTGGCGTAAATATTGCTCTTTGTGAGCTTTCAAATTACTTGGAGCATTTTTACTTCCTTGTTGCTATCAGTTCAGATACTCTAATCTGCACCGTGATCCTTATTTTCCTTAGGAGTCCCCGAAACATACTCATCTCTTGAGGCGAATAAATTCCAATTTTGGTATCGGGGCTTTGAGTTGATTCGGCCTTCTCCTTTCTAGTAGATGCACTTCGCGGTGTCTGCGTGGTAATCAACAGATTCAATTGTGTTCTTTAACCTTCCACCATCATTCAACCGTTTAGGATAGAGAACTGTTTCTAACCCGTTCAGCAAGATTTGCAGAATCTCACTTTAAACATAGGCCCGTCGCAGCGGCTTAAAATAAATGATATCATCCCTACAGATACTACGATGCAGAGATTTGAAGTTGTATGTTGGACACCTAGTATTTTCTACTCTTAAACGGTTGGATCTCACTTTCAGGAAGGAATTGTCAGGGCGCCTTTTAATTGACGATGGAGAGGGAGAAAATGAGGTAGGAGGACTTGAGGAGTCGGTCGGGTCGAACGTAATGCGTCACCTCAGTGAGGAGCGTATTGCACAAATCATTGCTCTCTCAAAGAAACCCGATCTCTATGAGAGGCTTTCGGCAGCCATTGCACCCAGCATCTACGAAAACGAGGACGTAAAAAAAGGCATTTTGTTGCAGGTGGATACCTCTTTTATTTTAAAATCATTGGAGGCAATTGCCTTTATCGATTTGGGTTAAGTATTGTTTTACTGTCTTCAGTGAATGTTTATGTTGCATTAAAGCTTGCGAGTTGAGTGAGTATACGGTAATGATGAATGCACGGTGCCGGCGGTCATTTTTATGCTCACCTGTGTGACCATTTGGTTTATTTTCCAGAGGTCAGTTTCGTCTTTAACTCAATTACGAGATCATGCTATTTCAAAACTTCCATCTCTTTTGAAGGCTGCTGCTGTATAAGATTGAGCTCGTCCTATTCATGCCTTTTTGGTCGCCAAGGCTGGGTTTTTGATATCGTGCTTGGCTGCTTCTCGTACTACTTCATCTGTGCAGATTGTATTGCACTTCGGTCAGAGTAAAGTTTTGGTGAATTCGGAAGGCTTACCAAATTCTTAGCACGCAATTGAAACCTCATTACTGCGAGTTTCTACGATCAAAGCTGATTAACTAGAAATTGTAGTCCAGTATTTGTTGAAATAATCAGCATTGCAACTTGACAATACGAGCTTACTGTGGATTTTACGTCCCTGGACGCGAACAGCCTAACTCCATTTGCGTCCATTTCCATCCAGTCTTTACTTTCCAACTGCTTTCGCATGGGATCATGTGATTGTCTAATGCTAATGCCAAGGGCGTCTGATAATCATTTGGAGAAATATGAACGAGGAGGATGCGTAGTATTGGCTAAAGTTATTTTTTCCCGTCCAAGTTTCAGTGTGGGTCTTTTGTTTTGCTTTGAGACTAATAAGTCCTAGGTGCCCCTAAAAATAATGTTGTCCTTGCATTTTTTGCTTAGTCTTATTGATATGTCAGATCTGTAATTGCTGGGTCGAGAAAAAGGAAATATTTGACCAGTCTTTCTGAAGTGTAACTATCTTTGGCCTCCGTTTTGGGGTTTGGTGTTTTATTTTTTGTCTAACGTCCTCTGTAAAACCTCTAGCGGAACCTTGTATGTTAGGTTCATGGCTCTCTTGAATACCATTTATTTAGGAAAAGCATTCCCGTCACTTCTAAGGTTGTTTTGTTAGCTTTTCGGTGGCACAAGAAAGGACTTTGCATCTAAGGGTCGAGGCAACTTCAGATCAGAAATTAATATTCTTCTCTGCGGAGACCCTGGCACTTCAAAATCCCAGCTGCTACAGTACGTTTATAGCATCTCCCCTCGCGGTCAGTACACCTCGGGAAAGGGTAGCTCGGCTGTCGGTCTAACTGCCTATGTTACCAAGGATCCCGAGACGGGTCAGCTCTCATTGCAGACTGGTGCTTTGGGTGAGTTCCGGAAGCTTTTGGATCATCTTTCTAAATCTTCTAAGAGACTCTGTTCGCATTATGTCCGATGAAGCGCCTTTAATCTCTTTGTTGCATCCATTTATTTTTTTCTTTTTTTGCGCTTCGATTCGGTCTTTAATCAATCGAATCACCTATACCACCTTTATTTATACTTTGATACAACCACACGCGTAAGTTTTGGTCCTGTGTACTGCCATTTACCCGTCGTTTCGTGGCTCGCATGATCACTGTTCGATGTCTTCCGTGTACTTTTACCTTCCACCAGTGTTGTAAATTCTTGTTGAAGGTTTTTGTCCTTTGCCTACTTGGGTACGCGCAAATAGCTTGCGTGACCTTGATCTCTACTGTGTCCTTTGAAGAACTTGTCACGCCAATCCTGCCAGTTCGCTCATCTCGTCATCCTCTTTCTAAGGTCACCACTGACCTTTCGCCTTTGGACTGCAGTGACTCATCTGGGCTCGTCACCATTACTTTGCTTGTGTTCCTCTGCCCGTGCTTGTCCCCCTCTTTCCCTCGTTTCCTCTTCGGGTTTCGCATTACCCGCTCTGTTACGCTTGACTGAGAGATTGTGAATTTTGTGTTACTCAGTTACTGATGCAATCTACCTTCCAAGCATGTACGAGTAGTCACTATGTTCACTGACGGTTTTAACCCTCTAGTTTCTACCATTTTCGAATACTTTAAAGAGTAAAATAGCGGTGTGAGATAGCCGCATTGGATCCCCATTTATTCACATTCCATAGGAGTTTTCATGTGCTCACATGGTAGAGTTATTTTGTGATTTTCAATTCTACGAAACGAGGTAAATAATGGCCTAGCTACCCTATTTCGTGTTGAAACTCTGTTACGTTTCGTCATTAAGTGAAATAATCGGTCCTAATTTATCAGTATGAGCCTTTAGTTTAGATATATTTTACATTTCAACTGTAACATTTCATCACCACGAAAGTCATGTCTTATTTTGCTTAATTGGAGCTTACTTACGTCCTTACTGGCATATGATGTTTTGTGCACTAGTTGGCAAATCTCGTGTTCCTTGGAGCGTTGATAAGCCTTGTTAATTAATCGTTAAATAAAGTTCCTGTCTATTATTTGTTTAACTAAATATTTGTACTGCCTGAGAGTCAGTGGTCTTTTACCTGGTTTAGATCTTGGGCAATCTAATGCCTATTGCATTAAATCTAAGGTTTGTGATGATGTTTCGTTTGAGTAACCTTAGATTTCCGGCTTTCTGCCTTCTTGGTGGGCATCACAATGTGTTGACATGCTTAGCTCTGTTTTAAAAAGGTACCTTAACATCGGTTGCTTCTATTGCTAAGCTCTCGCCGATAATGGGACTTGTTGCATCGACGAGTTCGATAAGATGACCGACTCCACTCGTTCTGTTCTCCACGAGGTGATGGAACAACAAACTCTGAGCATTGCAAAGGCTGGGATACTCTGCCAATTGAATGCTCGTACTGCCATTTTGGCTGCTGCCAATCCGGTTGGGTCTAAATGGGATCCCTCCAAGACCATTATTGATAACATCCAGGTTAGTGCGATCTCATCGTTTCTTACTGGTGATGAGCTCCATAGCAATAGCAATGACAACAGCCATTGGATTGAATTGCTTTGCTATGTGATTTTTTTTGCCGTTTTGTGGCTGCCGGTTAATCACTTTTGTGTGTGTGTGCAGAGGTGGAAAGACGTTAATTTGTCAAACCACGCGTTACCC